TATAGCGCCCTGCTAGCATTTTAGGCCGAGTACCAAATTGCAGTGCCAACTGCCTTCAAGCCAATCGGTGTTTTGAGCGGAAAGGAAAGTATATTTATCGATCTGGCTTTTGAGCGAATCAGCGTTTCGAGGCGATCGGCGTCCCAATGCCGATCGAAATCTATGCTTTCCATCTCTCTCAGGACGCTGATTCGCTCAAAACGCTGATTCTGCCAAAAAAGCTGAGCTGCAATATGAACGCAGCCTCATAACAACCTCTTATTTAACGTCGGAGAATGTTTACGATGAGAACCTCAGAACTTCCACTTCCATGATTTTTACATTATTCTCTTTGAATACATACATTTGCTCAGTATTATTGTAACCGGTTTAACCAGTTTCGTTTTCCTTATGGTAAATCAAGATTTATTAATATTATTTTACCAGTAATCTATCACAACTTTACAATACTTATTAACACAATTATCATCAATTCTTATGACATTACCTCGCGAAGAACTGGTTACCACGTTTGGACTTTTCGGAAATGAGTAGCCTTCATGCAATTTCCCTGCTACCATTAACTTAAAAATGGCACTCGCGGAATGCGTGTCCGCTCAATTACCCCGGGAAACTGGTAGTCGTTCTCAATGAAAACTCAGGAAAAAAGCACCGAAAAAGCAAGTTCTTCCATTCCTTTTACTTTTTTTCACGCCAAGGTGCGAAATCCATCCAGCATGGAATCGAGTTCTCGCTCAATGGCACATTTTTTGGCTCGCCCCCCCCCCCAAGGAGCAGTGCTGTGCTTGGAGAAGGACGGTGTGGACAGCAAAAGGCAAACTTGTCCTAGTGTTGCGCCAGAAAGCGTTTGATTGAGGCTTTAAGGCGCAAGGCTGCTCAAGTGAATCCAACTCACAAGTGGCTCCCCCTCACGCTCATGTCTGTCGTCTTGCTCGTCTTAACGGATCCCAACTAATCTTCGCCTCCCGCTTGGTACCAGCTGCAAGAAAGAGGATCATTATTAGTGCCTTGGATAAGGCCCCTTCCGAGAACTGCAGAGGAATGCGGCGAGGGTGTGCTCGGACAAGTCTTCGCTTGCTGGTATCGTGATAATTTCAGCTTCTCCCTTATCATCTCACTCTCCATGCTTGGGTTGAAAGAGCTGTTAATCACAGTTGAAGTATACGCGATCCTACAGTATGGGCGATGTTTTGTGAAAGTGGCTCATCATCCTCACTTCTAGACTGGACTACGTGGTACAGGTAGGGCGTATGGACATCAGATGATCGTGGAATGTGCTTTTAAAGTTCCCTTACAGATTATGCCACCTTTCGTCCCGCAGGACCACTCCGCGAGGAATCGAGGAGGCTAACACTCAGCTGACAAGAAGGATTTCGTTCATTGTGCCATAGGGTACTTTGGTATCAATGCTTTATAGCTGGAGATATTTCTTCAAAAACTGATGGGTGCTCCAATGGGCTACCTGAAAGGAAGGTATTCGGCTAGTGAAAGCTCTTGAAGCGCAGCCTAACAATATATCGCAAATTGGCAACAACTGTGGGTTGACTCTTACAGTCTCGGTTGTGGAAGAGCTTCTCTGTTACAGATGGCACATAAAGAGAAAGAGAAGAGAATAGAGAAACCTATGGATTTCCTCGAGTAGACACGTAAATGGCTCTTTGAAACGGAACAGCACACGAATACATGGCGCATCCTCGGAAATCGAAGGACGTCACTTGATCCGCTTGTAAGAATACAAAGTGCTGCGAAAATTCTCAGGGTTACTAGACGAAAGAAAATAGGCCCTTAGGGTGGCAAGAGTCGCATTTAGCCATGAGGTGTTCTGAAAAAGTCGAATGAAGACCCAGGGCATGTCGTAGGTTGGGGTTTCTCAACGGTGGCGGAAGGGGGTTTTAGATGACCGCTGAAGAGAGGGCAGTGGTATTTGCCCCTTTTTAGTTGTTGACTTTCCTCAGCTTTTTCTGTTTCATGGGCACTGCATACCTCCTCCCCTCCTCCCCCCCCCCTTCCCGTCGCCCTACTCGTCCACCTTCCGCTCAAGTGCAGTTTCTTGTAGAAGAAGTGGAGAAATTTTCGGGAAAAACTGGAAAAATTGAAGAAAGTTGGCGAGAACTCAGGAAGACAGCAGGTAGATGGGAAAGGGGGTGATATCGGTGAAAAAGTTTGAAGAGTGAGCCGTTCCTTGCAAAACTTCTCCCCCCCCCTCCTTGGGAGACGTGCCCCGTAGAGAACAGCCTCTTTGGTGGGTGGCAACGGCGCAGCCGATTTCCCTGATTCCTTTAGCGTGATCTTATTGGCACTTTTTGACGGAAAAAGCTTACGATCAGATCTCCTTTAAAAAATCCCTTATCGCCGTGGCGAAGATGACAGTGGCGTTCCGCCCCATCAGACACACCCCCGCGCAAAGCCCACGACACGTTTTGCCGCTCACTCGACATGCGACGACTGTTGACTGTTCTCGTCTTGTATGTCTTTTTTCCCCTTTGTTTTTGGATCTCTTTCATCCGATGGGACAACTCGTCCATCATGTTGTGGACGAGTGATTTCGTGTGTTGTGAATTTCAGCGTGCGGATATCAATCGGAGGCGAGACGCCGTTTTTCGATCTCACTCGCTACAATGATTTCCCACAATTCGAAGAATATGTTCGAGGAGTGGCCGAAATGAATCCGGATTTCGTCTCACTACGGCTCATTGGCCACAGTCGCGAAGGTCGTCCTTTGCTTGGACTAAAGGTGAATTCGCTGAATCCATACAATCTCGACCCATGACGCATCCTATTGCCATTGTGATGACCTTTTCTTTTTCTTCTTTCGTCCTGCCATTCCAATCGCTGCATTGACTTGACTTTCTATTTCTTTTGCAACATTTCAACCCGTTTCTCTCTCGTCGTCGTTCGTTGAACGGCGCTCGCTGCTTGTGTACGTCAAAGTACGAGAAATTTCAGTTCACACCCCCAATTGGAACGATAGCCAGGTTTTTCCTCAGTGATGACTAATCCGGTTCTCAATCAGAAAACTCTAAGCCTTCACACTGTCAAAACGTCACACCATATTAATCGACATCTCTTTCGCTCTTACAGGGCGCTACTTGGTGAAGGAATATTTGAAACTTCAACAAGGGGGTCGTATTCAAGTCGTTATGGGCAGGGAACTGTATCTGCGTAATTCAGAAGGTCTTTCAAAGAAGCAGCCGGCGCGATTGCCATTTGCAGCCTACGGGATTCTCTAGACCATGTTGCAAGTGGGAAACCAATCAAAGAAAGCAAATCAAACAGTCGAAAACGCCCTAAATAAGAACCCGTTGGCTCTGAGCGCGATTCGGCGCAGAGAAGCGGAGTGTAGAAACGGGAGGCAGACCATGGTTAGAAAAATAACCAGATGGCCGACACCCCTGCGATAATAAAACGAAATTATAGAAGTGAATTCAGCCCACGGGGCGGAGCTCGCCTATCGTCATCGAACCGCAGCACTTTTATCAAGGTCCCTTGGGGGGGGGGGCTAAAGTGGGAAATCCGCTGCAACTTCAAAGTTAACGGAGATGAGGAATGGGGAAGGAGGGTAACACTCGAAAGAGTGGTGGAGGAGCAGGGTTCGGGTGTCATGTTGAACGACAACTTCTCTTACGATACTAATAGCTTAGTGCTTACAACTCATTGTCACTTCTAAATACCCACACGGAGGCTTTTCCATCTCTAACAGAAGCTGAGTGCATGGCGCATCCCCAAACGTTTGATGAACAGCTAGTGCTCGATGCTTTTGCATTCTATTTTAGTATTATATTATGTTGCATGATATACATATTTTTTCTAGTTCCCTATATCTACCGCATTGGTGCGCCAAATTTGGAACTTTTTCAGTTTTCATCCTTGAACCAGTGATCGTAATAGAGAAGCCTATAACCTATTTCCTGCCAGTTGTGACTAACTGGTTCATAGCCCTTTTGGTCCCCAACAACCAGACTTTCTATAATGCCTTTTTCGTGATACTGGCATGCGGCGCCCGCCATGGTTCACAAACTGAACACCAGATCGTTCCCCGCGTGAGTCAACCAGGCAATCTGCCTCCACTTTCAGCCACCTGAGGTCTGCACCTGGAAGTATAAGAACACCACAAGTATGGCGCCATTAGGGCAACTCTTGGCATGGTCGAATACGTTGCAACGCATTCTGGGCTGGTCGGCACTTTCAGAGCGGCGGAGGCGTTTTTTGTCATTATTGTGGGCAATATGCGCGGACGCAGAGAGAGCCTTAGTATATATTTTTCGCGGGTCCTGATCTACGGAAAAATAGGTCTCGGGGACCCTGTTTGAGAGCATCTATCGGAGAATGTAGTTCGGGGTTCTGTTGTTGGAGAAGATTTCTGCAAAACGCGAGCACCCTCCTGCAAATTTCCCCCTCTCTAGTACGACCCCTCTCTCCATGCCCGTCGTAGCTACTAGTTTTCCTGAGTTTTGTCAAACTCCTACCACTTTTCCAGGGTTTTATTCGAAAATTCCTGCACTTTCTCCCAAAAGAACGCAGTTCGTCGAACGGAAGAGAGTACGGGATGGGATATGTAGCGCACTTCAAACAAGAGAAAGCGAGAAAGTCAAGTCAACAATGGGAATCATTTCCTCTCGAAGGCCAGGTACGACCCCTTTCCCTAGAGACCAAAACACACCTTGCTGGGAACTCCAATCTGGGCTTGCCCTTATGTATTAGGTTGGTCGAAAAGTCCTGCGACACTTTGACCAATTTTTCAGGCTAAATTTTCAGTCACTAAAAGACATCTCCAATCTACAAGGTAATCACCACTAAGGACTAGGACCAGTGCCCTTCTTTTGCACAGCTTCTCATTTCCATTCTTATAGGACTACGGCAACTATGATAAGAAGAAGAGGTGGACCTCACTTTTGAGTAGACGGCGATTTTCGGAAATTTTGCCTTCTTAAGAATGCGGTAGGGATCAAAAAAGGTAGTATTTAGAGACTGCTAACTTTGATGAATAAGCTGGGTATGGTCGCATTCTCAGATCAAGATCTACGATCTTTTGGTGTGGCCTGATCCTAACATGCGGTCTTCGCATTGCCGAGCGGTAGAGAAAAATTGAGTATTTTTGAAGGATTCAAGCGTGACGTCATCCATGTGTGAGTGGTTAGAGTGACTGTAGTCCTAAACGTCTCTATGCTAGTATCCAGAGATACCCATTGTGAAGTTCCCTACCAATAACCGACTAAATTTTATCCATGACATCTTCTTTTGTGCTGCAATCTACTTTTCTGTTTAAGATTCCTGCAGCCAGGAAAACATGTGCAAGATGTACGCAAGGACCCCACCACTCTCTACCAACCACAAGATCTCACAAATGTTCCTCCAGTGTGTACAAGGAAAAAAAAACTCAGTCACGGTCATTCGGTATGACTTGTCAGAGGGGTTCAACTCATGAGGCATCCTTCATAAAAAATTTTTCCGATAACCGAGACTGCGGAGAGCCACTGGCGGATTATTAGTTAGGTGGAGCCCAGAGAGGTTGCCAACTTACTGGTGGTTACGTTCGGCTGCGCCTCAAGAAGCTTGAGTAAAGGGTCGTCATTCTGTGCTGGTGGCCGACCTATACATTGCCTACTTCCGAGTTGAATAAGTCCAGCCCGGAAGCGCTGCTGCAAAAGGAACTCTCTGCTATGGCGAGCGATATCCTTCCTCAAGACAACGTAAGTGTTAGCTTCCTCGACTATGGCGGAGTTGCCCTACAGGAACTCATAATATGGGATAGGTCGAGAAGTACCTCAATCTCTGAGGTATTTTTAAGCTTTGAAAACTTCCACGGAGCCATGATATACCCATTTTCAGAAACCTCAGGAACATCGTCCAACCTAATCAGAGATGAAAAACCATCGAAATGATTTTTCGTCTTTTTCTCAGAAATATTTTCAAACAAAGCGTGTCGCAGGACTTTCGACCAACCTAATTAGTTTGAGCTACCACACGCGTTCTCTCACTCCGTCCTGGCCCTACCCTATCTCCCGGTTAGCTTACGAGCCTAGAAAGGCAGTGCAAAAAGCACACTTCATTTCCGGTAAGAGCGTGCATCGGTAGAACATTGACCGGGGTGAGGTGGCCCACATTTATAACCTTTACGCTCATATATTCGTGGTCGGCGCACTTTCAAAGACCTACTGCGCATACTCACTGGAGCCAAAACACGGCGTATTCCGTAGACTGGTTCGCTCCACGCTGAAGCCTTCTATTATGGATCCGATACCGATACCGTTGAATGAAGAGGAATAGCGAAACACATTTTTTATAGTAGCAAATAAAAAGCGGTTGCCGCACTGTTATACTTTCCTTCCGTACTTCCCGTTCTGCACGTGTAACATGACAAGTATCAAAAATTCCACAGTGTGACCCCTCTCCTCCAGCACCTACTGCTCGCCCCCCCCCAACTATCCTGCATCATGTTGCATTGTAGAGCCACAATGAACGACAAGATTTGAAACCCAAATGGCGCCTACACCTGGTTGTTGTACATGTTTATCGCCGAACAAGGAACATTATGACCCCAAACAAGAACATTATGGTATGACGGTCCCAGCCGCCTGATTGCCCTGTTATTACCGTAAAACGAGTTTCCTCACCATAAGTCAAGGGGCATATTACACCAGTGTAGACAGAAATGGCGTTTCAGAAATGTTACTAGGAAATAAATTGGCAAGAAATAGCACTGCTCCTATCAAGATCATATCGAGAAGCTAAAACTAAGTACTATAAATAAGATCAGGTAAAAGAAGGTCACTCTGTATCAATAGATTCTATTCATATAATCTATCTGCATGAATAAATAATATTGGCCCCGAGTAACCCTCACTCTGTCACATACAAGGGCAATTCCCTCGTACTGTCGAAAACGCACCGGTCCTCTTTAGCATGTTAGTAAGTGTAAGAACGATCCAAATGCTCCGTTGTTATGGCAGTAACCATTCATCCGCATCAAACACTTGCATACAAAACGTCTCTCCAGGCACGTCAAGAATGCTCACCCTTTGCCCACTAGAGCTTAACAGGTGGCTGAACCACACCGCGATTGTACCGTTTTGGACGACAACAAATCCGTCAACGACGAAATAATTACACCAGGGGGTTCATTCACTTGCGTTCACTTAGGCCGGGAAAATCCCGCTGCAACGGGAAAAAGCACTCGTCGTGCTCTCCCTCATAGAGTAGAAATTTCCACAAGAATGAGACAACTGAGAACATAAGAGGAAAACTGGAGTGCAAAGTAGGACAAGGGCGTAGCGGCGTTCTGGCTAATGTTCATAGTGACACTGACAGATGACATGCGGGAGGAGTCTCAGATCGCATATTTTATGAGCCTAGGAGGTACGCTACCGATACCATTCGGTATCGCGTACCTCCTAGCTCATAATATGCCAATCGTGGCGGTTTGTCTTTTCATTCTTGAGAATCCGTAAAAGTGTCATAGAAAGATCTGGAAGACTCTCAGCGCTATTTTGCCTTAGAGAGAGTGGTGGGGGGGGGACATTGGTTTCTTCCAAGACTTCTTTCTAACTTACACGTCTCATCTTGGTAAGCTCTGTAGATTCTGTTGTCAGCGTTAGAAGAAGCTCATTGCTATGGTACAACTTTACGGCCAGTGTTTACAGGCACGAGCAATGATCGACGAGAACTTTTATATCCCTTGAGATGCGGTAGGCGTGGCTGTGTAGATTGTTTGTACAAGGCGTATGGATTTCAGTTTAAGGCAACCATCATGTTGTTCTATGTTGGATAACC